TATCATTGACATAATCTTTACCGTAACATTATCTCTATCTTTGTCGAGTTTTTTCTCCTCTTCTTTTCTTTTTTTCCTCCCCTGGGCACCAGACAGTTTGGGACGTTTTGACATGTTGAGCTTGTTGACCCATCAAAAAACGACCACCATGTAGCAGGTAAAGTCGGATTATTTGGAAGAGAGGGGAGGTGTCTTAGGCAAGTAGCCTATATTATTATTATTATTACTACTACTTAGTAGGCTTTGCTGCTATGCAGTTAAATTAATGTGGTGGGCTTATTCTTTTCTGAAGTCTAGTTTTAAGAATAGTGGAAGTTACACTTTTTTTCTTCCTACATTTCTGGCGCCCCCTGGATGTACGGCGCCCTTAGCATTTGCCTATACTGCCTATGCCAAGGGCCGGCCCTGTCGATGAAAACTGATGTCATTTTAGTCTAGGTTTAGTCAATGAAAATTGTATTTTAGTCTCTTTTTAATAATGCAATTCTATTTAACCCAGTCAATAGAGTATAAGTACCTAGTAGTATAAAGTTTCTTTTAGCCAAAACCATTTCAAACAAGGTTATCTTATTATATTATTGTTACCTTATAGACTCAAGAGTACATCCAATACACATTTTGTGTAATTTTGTGGCCGCATTTCTCCCCATCTTTTTCCGCAACAAATTTCGTTTTCTTTTCCACTTCTATGTAATTAAAGTTTTTCCAAATGTCGTTTCTTCTTTTTCTCCCAATGGCGAACCCCGGCTGGCCAGCCATCGGTCCCTTTCTCTGTGTCAGACTTAACTTTGTTTGTTGTCGTCTTCTAAATAATGCCGCGAGTGGGGGGTTAAGGAAGTGATGTCGCCTGCGTCTGATGAGGCCCCTGAAGCGAGACACAGGAAACAGAAATACTGCAAAATAATAATAATATCACGCCTAAACGAAATGAAATAACATTTTAACATTTTGTCTTGTTTTTTATCGTCAACGATATTGCATTATACATTTAATTATAGTCATCGTCACATGACCAGCATTTTTGTTGCATCTCGTCTCGTTTTTGTCATGCGATAAAGGTTTGTTGACGATGATATTTAGTCATAATTTTTGTTGACGAAAGCAACACTAGCTGGTACTCGGTGCAGTGGAGGTGGAGAGTATAAGTAGGGTGAAGGACTGAGTTAATGCAGCTGGTGTTAATTAAGGAATGTGTGGCAGGTGTGCAATGTGGAGTGAACCCGAGACTGAAAAAGCAAGAGAGGGAGGCAAGAGACGCAGGTGCAGCCGAGCAAACCTGACAATAGCATTTGTTGATTATTTAGGTTGTAAGCCAATCAAGATAATTGTTGATGATTTTAAGGTTTATATTTTATTGCTTGCTGCTTTGCTGTAGCTCTTTTAAGCTTCTATATAAAATTCCTGAAAAGGTTTAATACTCTGTGGTTATTGAGTCAAGTTTGACGTTATTGACATTCCTATGATTTTAGTGGGTTTACACTTTTAAGTGGTGATGGTTAAGGCCGCACATACTGTATAGGCACACAGTTCTCAGTGTTTGATTACCCAATTCCCAGTGAGTGTTCGATTACCTAATTCCTAGTCAGTGTCTGAGGTTGCATAACAGTTCACAGGGTTGACAGTGGGCCAAGATTGAACTGCTAAAATGATTTTTAGACAGTTATATCAGAAAAGGGTTTATCTAAAATATCTGACTGTTTATTTGTTACATAATACACACTATTCTTTAAATATCCTATCCTTCACATACTAAAGTGGCGAGTAGAACAAAAAAAACCCTGCATTTTTAACCTCTTATGTCAACTAAATACTGTGCAAAACAGATATGGCCTTAAATGTCCAGTGACACAGCTTTCATTGGTTATTTCAGACAAAATTTAACACTTCTTCAAAAAGCCAGAGTATACTGGTTTATAAAAATTTCTCAGTACAGTAACATTTGAGGCTTTAAGGAGGTAGCTGCCACAATAACTGCAGGTTGTTGTTATTTGGGAGGTTTGGAGTCTTATCCTGAATTAATAACATGAAAGAGAGAGGTCTGCAGGGAACTCTGTTCACAGGTTCATGGTAGCCAATTACTGAGTGAATATCTCTGTCATAAAACTTCAAGCAGTGTTTGGAGCTTTAATATGTTTCAAATATGCCACCTTAGTGTGAGAGGTTAAGCTTTATTCCTATGTCCAGGGGTTAGCATATCGTGTCCTCCATACACCTGATAAATATGTATGCATTGAAAGTTATTACTAAGTACGTACATGTTGAAGGAGTTTAAATACACAGCTTTGTTTGTCATGTTACCTCATGCCAGTGAGTATTGCTCTCCTTCACTGTGTCAGAATGTGTGGTCACTCCATGTTAACTGTCAGGATAATCACACTGCTGTCTGTGTCTATGTAAAAAAGTTGAACAAACAGTGGTCTTTTCACCTTTGCAGACATCCTTACCATACCTTGAGCCTGTTATTCCTGATATTCTGAATAAAGATCTATTGTATCCTCTGCTAGTTTTCAAGGTGCCATTTGGGGGAAACATCTTGTCCCCAACTGTTGTCTACAATTCATACCACACCCTTTGTATCTCACTCACCTTACTGCCACAGATTACATCATTTTGCTAAATATTAGCATACCTTATTGCCAAGTATTATCAAAAACGAATCTGACTCCAGCCCAATGGCCTTCAGTGTGCTCAAAAAAAGAGACTATACAGTATATACACACACAAGTCAAAAGAGCAAAACATAGACTCTTCATGAGTGTGACAGCCCAGGGGAAGAAACTGTCCTCTTGGCTGGATGTTTTGGTGTACAGTGATCTGTAGCACTGTCTAAAAAGGAGGAGTTCAAAGAGTTTGTGCCCATGGTGTGAGGGGTCTGCAGAAATCTTCTCCGCCCTCCTTTTGACCCATGTGGTGTACAGGTCCTCCATGGAGGGCAGGCTGGCACCATTGATTTTTGCTGCAGTCCTGACTACTCACTGGACTCTGTACCTGTGCCATTTGGTTGCCAAGCCAAACCACACAGTGATGGATGAGCAGAGAACAGACTCAATGATTCCGCCATAGAACTGAATCAGCAGCTCCTGGGGCAGGATGAACTTCCTGAGCTGACACAGGAAGTACTTCGTCTGCTGTGCTTTTTTAATGATAGTACTGATGTTGGTCACCCCACTTCAAGTTCCAAGAGATTGTGGAGTCCAGGAACAGAAACAGTGCTGCTGAATATAGTGAGCAAAGATAATGGATTTTAGGAGAAGCGAAGCTCCCTCACCCCATCATTTCCCCTGTCCACCTAGAACAGCTGATTCATCTATGCCATAACACATTGCTACACTGATGACTCGTCTCTTCACTGTCAAACACAAAACCCACATATTATAATGGCCATAAATTTCTATAGCATCTGAAGCAAGCAAGAACCACATTCCCATGCATGAGATCTCTGTGCAAACTCTTACTTACTTACTGGAACACAGCAGTACATACTGCAGCCCATATGTTCAGTATAGTTCGAGTTTAATTACACATACTACAAGATCAAATACCTTACATCTGATATAATTTAAAATTTAACATTTTCATGATATTGCACTGGGGGATACTCACTGTATACTGCAAGTACATTCTCAGTTGAAAAATGAACCAGCATTCACAATTATAAATGGCAATACACATGCAAAAATATAATTTGTCAATCTAGTCAATACAGTATAAATTCTTGCAATGAATCCACTTAAACACTGAAAAACAGTATTGCATAGATTTTACCCAAAGCAATTCACACTCCGAAGCAGAAACGGCTTAATTCCCCTGAATCACGTCACTGAGTGTATCACGTGACTGGTTGAAACCAGTCGGTACTGCTTTGTAACATGAAAAATATTGTTTCTCAATAAAAATCTCTGAATCTCCATGCCACTTACATAATCACACCCTGCCCTAGTTGCACAACTACACCCTACCATCCTAGCACATCCTCTGTTTCCCCAAGCGCGCCTTCTCCCATCAACTATGTTTATAGAATCAACCAACCGACCAATCAATTAATCTTTACAGAAATGTATTTACATCAGTCACATAAACCCTATCTCATCATATAATTAAGACATTGTTTTGGTCTCTGCTATTTCGCCACTAGATGTCACTGAAATGAAGCTTTGAATGAATGAACCCATTTTCGAGACAACTGATGAAGTGGTTTAATACTGGTTCATTGCTTCATTTGCACATCACTTAAAATTATCAAAGCCCATAAACGAGTCACAAGGGGGAAGAGTTCAAAAACTTACAGGAGATAATCACAATGACAGAGGAACAACAGTTGCAAGGCAGGGTGTGGTGCACAGATGAGCCAACAAACTACTGAGAAAAGTAGAGGAGAATATAAGGGCTGACACATCCAGACAATGAGCAACATGGAACAGGAAATACTGTCAAAATAAAAGTACCAAATAGGAAGTGGGCCCAAAGCATGACAAAACTGGCTATAGTTAATGAGACATTAGGCATAGAGAAACTTTTTATACGGTATTCCAGCCTTTGTTAAAACCTGATCCCCTTTATTAAAGTACATCCAGATCTGATTCCTGTTTTGCTTGTACCCCACCACCCCATTAAGTGTAAATA